TGAATACCACAACCGGTATCAAGGACCCAAGATTTCGAATGGGGTGAGTTATTAGAAATGATAGTGTAAATACCTGCATGGTTGGGTTTGACTTTCCCATCCTTCACATCCTGCTGGTACTTTGGGCAGTTCCGCTTCCAATGAGCTTTTTCATGGCAATAGAAGCATTCAGCCTCTTTTGGGTCAGAAGAAGGAGTAATGAAACCTTTCTTGGTTCCACTTGAAGAAGAGCCATCAAGGGTCCGAGCCTTGGTACCCTTCGAAGATCTCTTTCTCTTCCTCCCTCGACTTTTCCCGATTGCCAAAACCGGAGTTGAGTTTGGAGTAGGAGTGATAGCAACCGACTTCCCCTTAAGACCTGTTTCTGCAGTCTTGAGAAGTCCCTGAAGTTTGCTGAGAGTGACCTCTTCCTTATTCATGTGATATGTCATGCGGAATTGATCATAGCACGATGGTAAGGAGCGCAAAATTATATCTATTGCTAGCTCCTCAGGGAGTTCACATTAAGTTTCAGCAATCGATCCACATACCTTTGCATTTTCTGCATGTGGCTCGTGACGGAATCCCCGTCCTTCATCATGGTTGTTATCATGGAGCAGATGATTTCGTACCTCTCTTGTCGTGCACTTTGATGGTATCTTTCCATCAAATCTTGGTGCATTTCATAAGGGTAGAAATCCTCATAGGACTTTTGGAGTTCTGCTGTCATTGTGGCCATCATGATGCATGCTACTTTCGTAGCATCCCTTTCATGTGCCTGAAAGTCAGCGATCTCCTGAGGAGTTGCAGTGGTCTCATCAATCTCCTTAAGCTCCTTGTCAAGGACATATTCTTTGTCCTCGTAGCGGGTAATCATCCTGATGTTTCTGATCCATTCATTGAAGTTGGATCCATCAAAGGTGACTTTCCCACACAAACTCATAAGAGTAAAGGAGCCATTAGGATTCGAGCCAGAAGCATTATTTGAAGACATCTGAAAGAGGAGAACAAGTTTAGTATAGATTTAAGAGAGTCCTTAATAAAACACCCAAATGTAATATTAAGGCTAGGATCCAATCACAATATAATATAACTTAGAAGAGGTATGCCGTAATCTAAGCTATACCATATTTGAAAGGTAGGTGAATGACGATTCACCAATTTCCACCACGAAAACCGAAATATTAGATATTAGGTTTTATTGGTTTTTAGAAATTCCTAGATTCTTTGAGATTCAATGAACTTTTCAAAGGCATGTTTCAATCTCGAGAGTGCCCTCCAAGTTTTGTGACTGGGATACCGAGGATCACAAAACGAGGTGTGAAGTAACCATGCAAATCACTTGGTACCCTTAAAGTTTATCACTCAATCGATGTGCCGGTAAACCACACACGCTCCACCGATACTATAATAAACCTTAAGTCACCCTTTACCTACCTTGTTAAGTCCAAGTTAGTGTGCCGGTTAACCACACACGCTCCACCAACGACTTAGACAAAGTGTAAAGTGTAATTTCATGGATTAGCACCTTATTCACATTTTCCTAAAGTAACTAAGATTGGGAATTTAATAAAACATTTAGTTACTTTATAATATTCATCATACTTTGAATGAGAGTTTATAAGTCCTTGTCTTACCCGTTCGGCTAACGACCCTCCACCAGTCAAGCAAGCGGTGGGTGAGAGTAGACACCCATTAAGTCACCATTTTATAGGCAACAACCTTATACCCACCTTATAGACCGGCTTCGTGAATGAGGCGTACTAGCGGTAAGACGACTTTATTCTTATACATATATATATAATTATTAAATCATCATAATATAAGTATAAGGGTTGAATTTTAACTTTTAAAATTCTAGGGGTTGGAACTTAAAGTTTTAACTTAACTTTTCTTGTTCCAAAACTTGAGGGCAAGTTTTGTAACTTTCAAAACTTTTCATTTCTTGTAACTTATGAGTTTAATAGAGTAATAAAATGAAGACTCTTCATTTTTCTAACTCTTGTGTTTGTTTTAATGGTTTAATTTCAAGTGTGACTCTTGGTTTTCCATAACTTGAGGACAAGTTATGGACTCCATTAAAACACATTATGATCAAGAATTAATCTACCATATAGGTTACAAATAATTCCTAAGATCATCTAAAACATCATAAGAACAAGAACATGAATATGAACACAATCAAAAATTACATTTAAGACTTTGTAATTTTGATAACTAGTTGTTGTGAATGAATTAGAAAGAAAATTACACCATCAAAACAAGTTTTCAAGTACCAAAACAGTTTAGGGTAATGTTTCTAGTCCATTTCCAGCAACTAAAATCGAAATTCTGCAATCAGTCGATCCTACTCGCCGAGTGCATGAATTTACTAGCCGAGTTGGTTGAAGATACACGTGAACTCGACGAGTCCATTCGTAGACAGCAAGATTTTCGACTTTTTTCAACTTTTAAGCACAAATAAAAACAAACAAGCCTAGGCTCTGATACCACTGATGGGTTTTGAGCATTCTAACACTTCCTAAGTGTACATGCAACCCTAATAACCTTGTATCTATGTTTTTCTAATTATCATGCAAAGTTGAATTCCAAGGTTATATTCCTATCTAGCATACATGGGGAACAATTTTAACTTAAAGTATAGATAGAATAACTTACCTTGTTGTTGTTTGTGTTCCTTGAAACCTTGTGAGCCTAGCACCCCAAGTGTGATGCCTCAAATGCTTCACACAACACCAAATGCTCTTGGAAGAACTTATGAGAGAACACACACTTCTCAAAAATCGGCCAAGCCCTCTTGTTTCTTAGTCTAGCCGATTTTAGGTGGAGAACATGTTTCTTATATAGTGTTGACACATCTAGGGTTAAACCCTAATGTGTCATGACTCTTCATTTCCATGACCCATGGGTTTGTAACTCCCATGGAGCATCCTATGGGTGGAACCCAACTTGATAATCCATGGAGCCTCTTAGCCCACTATACAAGATATGGATGATTTACATAATCAACCCATATATTTAATTAGTTATCTTTTGATCACATAATTAATTCTTGATCAAACTAATCAAATAATATTATTAATATATTAGAACTTATAATATATTAATAATCTCCAAGTGTTATTTTTCTCATTTAGTCTATCCAATTGCATGGTGCCATTCAACCCAAATGGACCATGCCGGGTCGGGTCAAGTACATACCAGAAATAGTTATGGACTTAGACACCTTATCCAACACTTATAAGATTTGGTAAGAGGGGAAAGTTGAGTCTAAGGTTTATTGGACCGTTTAAAGTTCTTTAGAGGGTTGGGAACCAAGCTTACAAGCTCGAATTACCCGAAGAACTGAATGGTAAAAGGCGTAAGGGAAGGCTCAGACGACGCGCAAATGCGCGTCAAGGAAGGCTCTGTCATAAAGAGAGACGACACGCATTTACGACGCTCATTTACGACGCGCAATTACGATGCGTGTTTACGACACGCAATGCGTATCAAGGAAGGCCCTGTCATAAATGAAGACGACACGCATTCGCGTGTCATAACCTTACGGCGCGCGTGTTAATGACACGCAATGCGTATCAAGAAAGCCCCTGTCAAGAAAAGCCATGTCATAAATGAAGATGACACACATTTTTGCATATCGTAAATTTAAATATTTAAAAATATATATATATTTATATATTTATTAATTTTTAAATTAAATTTGCATTTAATGTGTCATAATAGAAATAAAATACCATATACAAAAAAATACAATCCATTGAATAAACGTTAATGTCATACAATTCTGTTTCTTACAATATATAAATTTGCATTCATCTAATCTACTCTATGTTTCATACTAACAATTGAAATGAAGAATACAACACTTGCATTTTCAGCATCTTATCTCTTTCGGCTTGATCTTTCTTTTCCACTTCTAACTCGAGAGCTATTCGCTTTCATCAACCCTCTAAACACAACACAAAATCACTTGTCATTTTCATTCGCTTTCCAATTTCCGTTGTGTGTTTTCCTATTTCCTTAGTTTGTGTACAATGGAGTAAGCAAGTGTGTATTGAAGCACCTTCCATGTAATAGTACCCGCTTGACCAATACTAGTATCAGAACATAAAGCACCTTTCTACACAAAAAACAACAATAAGTCAACAAAGAGTCAACATTATTTAAAATACTATATGAACCTTCTCAAGTGATGCACATGGACCAAGAATCCCCTAAATTACAATTTACAATTTACAACAAAAACACGAACTGATTGAGTCAACTTTAACATATGACATATCAATGTGTTAAGGATTGAAGAGATTAAATCAAACCTTACTTTGATGACAAACCCAATTTAGTGTCACCCGATTGGAAAACACGCAAATATATCTCGTCTCATTTCACCTCCAAAATTAACAAATTCAAATATCCATGGTTTGGACCTAATAACATGGGAATACAAAAATACAAATAATATTTAATAACATTGTCCCAAATATAAAACAAAAACAAGAATTAATATTTTTTGAAGCCTACTCACTTTGGGACAAACGTAATGTGACAATTGAGTAAAAAAGATCATAATAGAGTGAGCCCACTTTTATATATTTGTGTCAACTGACATTGATCAAATAGCCACTCATATATGATAACATATCAATATATGATAATATGATATGATATAATGCCGACTCACTTTTACCTTTTACCGATTACCGATTACCATACTAAAAGTCATACACCCCACCCATGCAAACCTGTAAACACCCGAGTTCACCACCAACAGGTAACAAAATACCGTAAATACCCCTCGTGACAACACGTAAGGGAAACACAGAGCTGTTAGTATCTTCATCACAATCTCCCGCAGCATCCAAACTCCTTGCAGCCGAGAGAACCCGTTTTCTCCTACCCTCTTGAATTTCATATGCGAATTGCATTCTGATGTACAAAATAAGCTCATCAGACAACTTAATAATGATTTTATAAATAAATCCAATAAGATGAGAAATAAAGAACATGTTTGCGTGTACTTATCTTTTGTAGTGCATACTGATATTTATATCTCCCACACCATCAACAATGGATTGCTTTTCATCATCCTTTTTCATTGATTCCTTCTTCTGTAACTCTTTCACTTTGCGATATTCATCATAGTGCGCCTTTCTTTTTTCCCTAAAGCTTCTTGCACTCTTCCCACCTTCATCATCTGAACCCTCATCATATCATCAGTTCAATTTTAATTTTTTTTTTAATAAAAGAAAAGCAAAAGGGTGAAGATGAAGGAAGTAGGAAGAACCTAGATCATGATCCATGACATCTGCTTCATCTTCATCATCTGAAGATCTCCATCCAGAATGGGAGTTACTGTTGCTACTAGAAGATGCCATCTCATTTAGTGTTGAACGAATTGCATCAACATTCAGTCTGATGTTGCTGTTATCATCTCCTTCAAGGAAACTATCAGAGCCCCTAATAGGAGATAAAGATCCTACAACAAGTCAACAACACTTGAATTAATTTACATAACAAATTAATAATTAATTTAAATTTAATGGAATGTGGGATATGTATAATACCATCAGTATCATGCATCATAGGATGATATGGAGTTTTGGGTTCTGTGATTTTCTATCTTACATGTTTATTTGCTTCAATTTCACCAAGGTTGGCTTCATCCCATCTAAAACCTCTCCTACGGCTTTTTAAACAACAATAAAAAAATATTAATATTATTTTAGTATGGGTGTACTTATACGTCATAAAACAGGAAAAATAATTATATTTCTAAAACCAATATTTTCCAAACAAAAAACAAACAACTTCATTACAGGAAAAGATAACAACCAACACAAAGAAATATATATATATATATATATATATATATATATATATATATATATATATATATATATATATATATATATGCTTATGTCAATTTTACCTCATGTCTATTGTACTTAAGCTTCTGAAGTGTAAGATTGAAAAAGAGTTCTCTTAATTTTACAGGAAAAGATAACAACCAACACAAAGGCTCTTGCATCTTTTTCAGCATGTAATTAGGGGATGATTTAACCTAATATATGAATCTCATCTTTCACAACAGTTAAATCCCTTTCACAACAGGTAATTTGGGGAGGGGCCCATGGGCCTGGTGTATTGGGCCCTCACGTGGGCCCCATGGCATTAGATTCCTTCCAGACATTTTGTTATACCTGTAAAAAGAAATTGTATATGTCATGAAAAGAGATTGATATTTATTTATATTTAAGCTAAGAAGACACAAGAACTTATTTATTTATGTGGACAGATGATGCACTAGATTTATCAGGTTTTATTTCATGTTTTAACATCCTCACCATAAGCTAATCAATTACTCAATATTGATGTCTATTTCTTTCTATAACAGCACACATCAGCCCATTGTATGAACTATTTAAACAACTGTTGCCTCTAAAACTCTTTCATTATCTGATCACACATTAGTGAACCTATGAAAAGCTGTGATGGTATATGGTCAAATAGCACAATCAAATATCAATACTAAGCCAAAGCACTATGGGTAAAGACAATTCCAGCAACTCAAGACATGATTTCTTAATTTTAAACTCCACCAAAAACAAATTATCAAAATATTTTACGTACAAAACACATAGCAGTTTTTGCAATAAAATTGTAGCTTACCTGAGTGGATAAAGAGCAAGAGTGGGGCTGAATAACACGCAAAATAAAACCCTAAAATAAACATACAAACATAGATTTTTGAGATGAGAAATAAAAATGAGAAACGAAGACTAACGAAATCTTTGAAGATAATGAAAGCGATTCTCAGACTCCTAATCTTTCACCGCCATTGTCGTTTTCCAGCTGTCATTGACGACGAATTCCTTAGGCATCGATTATACGTGATTTCCCCAAAGAACTCCCTCGATCTCAAGGGTTGGACCCTAGTAGGAGACATCACTTTTTCTGTATTCTTAATCGATTCATCTTTCCTTTCTGAACACTGATTATGGTGTGAATGAAACTATTGAAACCAAGTTCATGTAAAATTTGAGGTTCTTTTGTAAAGAATATGACTGAAAGTATTGAATCGGTTCATTCTTTGTGTTGTTTCTTAGTAATCATGGGAAGATGGTCGAGGAGTGTTAGGTTTAGAGAGAGATATAGAGAAAGAGAGCTTGTAGAGTAAGGCTGGGAGATTTTTGTTTAGAGAAAGAAAGGTCGTGGGTGTAGTTTGTTAGTAGCTGAAGATGGGTATGAGATGGCGTGAGAAGAAGGGAAACGGGCGAAGAAGTCAAAGAAAGCACTGCATCTTGATGTGCTCTTATACAGAGTTCTATTAAACATCTAGAAAAGAATCAATGGGACAATACTTGCAACTTGTTGTGTGCAAAAAAGACATGAATGCCCCCATCTCATCATCAATAATGTCAATAGATATATAGGTGATTGCGAGCTAAACGCGTTAATAATGTGAAGTAATTCATCATGAACAACAAATACTTCAATTTGAGAAACGTATATTAGTATTGGAAACTAGAAACTGGATCTGATAAAGGGAGGGAGGATGCAGCTTATGTTCTGTGGAAATTATGCTGTCACAGTGAAGATATCTATGCATGTGTTGAAAGTGCTGAAGCAATTCCTGTTTTCCTATGGTTCTTGAAAACTGGTGGAACAAAGGGACAAGAAGCCTCAGGGAAGGCACTAAGAAAGCTTATACGCATGGCAGATGCTGCCACTATTAATCAGCTACTAGCTCTGCTTTGGGGGACACCCCAAAATCAAAAGTCCACAAAATTGAAGTACTAGGTCATGTGTTTACCATGGCATCACATTATGACCTTGTTCAAAAAGGATCAGATGCTTATAAAGGGTTGAGATCGCTTGTTCAGATTCTTAATTCTTCAAATGAGGAAACACAGGAACATGTAGCTTATGTCTTGGCTGATCTCTTCAGCATTCGTCAAGATATATGTGATAGTCTTGCAACTGATGAGGTTGTGCATCCTTGATGAAGCTTTTAACAAGCAACACTCAAATTATTGCCACTCAATCAGCTCGGGCCTTGGGTGCTTTGTCCATGAACAAAATCTCTTATATTGTAGAAGGGGATGTGAAGCCTCTTATCAAATTAGCCAAAACATCATCTTCCATTGATGCTGCAGAGACTGTTGTATCTGCATTAGCCAAAGTGAAGCGACTCCTCCTGCCAACTAAGCTTTCCGGTAGTACCAATGATGGCAAGAAAATTGCCAAAACCGATGATTTCACCAAATCAAACATATTGTGTGTTTCTTTTTCATCCCCTTTCCCCTTTCCACGTGTCTTTGTTCCTAGTTAACCCTAGTCGATTATTTCACCTAATCACACATCATTGATTGTTAGTTTCACCAAATATCGGAAGTTTGTTCCTTCGATCGTAAATGAAATAGAGAGAAATTAAGCGGGAAAGAAAAAGAGATTTAGCAAAGCTAGGGTTCTTATAGAAGAACGAAAACATTGAGAAGTTAGAATCAAGAAAAACATACCTTAATAAGACATAGGGCTTGTAAATTTGAGTAATAGAAGTAATGACCCTAAGGTCACCGGACCTAATGTTGTTAGCAAGGGCAGGCGAGGTGAGATTGCTGGAGATGAGGGGCTCCATCGGCTGGGTGACGCTGGAAAGCGTTGGACGGTGGGGCGGGGCTAGACGGAGGTCAGAGGTGGGAGGCGCCAACACCAAGAGAAACGTCGGAGATGGGAGAAGCTGTCGACGTCGAGAACTTAGAAGAAGAGAAAGGGTTTGTCAAAGTGAGAAGGAGAGAAAGGGAAGTTGAAGAGAGAACGAGCAGTACAGGAGGGCATAATCGGGGTAAGTTCTTGAAAAAAGCCCTAGCTACTAGGGAAATTAAAGTAGAGGGAGGAAAAAAAAGGAAGGCGGGGATTTTAAGTTTTTGGGATTTCATTTTCCCCAGATGTTATAAAGCGACAGTCGTAAACGACACGCAGGTGCCCTCCGTGTTTTAATTTTTTTTTTTTTTGTTTAGACACTAATTTTAGGGCACACAAAAATGCGCGTCTGAAATCCTTTAAATTTTGGAAGATATGACATTATTTTTTAGACACTCACCTTTGTGTATCACAAATCACCGCGTGTCATGGTTCGCGCGTCGTAAAAGGCTATTTTTCTAGTAGTGATGATTCCAATTTCGGAGTTGAGAATTGATAAAAACAAAAGGTTGATTGAAGAACCAGAGGCAATCGTTGACCGAAATACTAAGAAGTTGCGACGCAAGATGGTCGAGTTAGTGCTTGTCCGATGGAAACACACGAATGGGCCGAATCTCACCTGGGAGACGGAGAGTGACATGAGGAGTCACTACCCGCATTTGTTTGTTGATGTGTGATTCTGGGGACGGAATCATTCTAAGGTGGAGAGAATTGTAACGCCCATGTTTCTGGGCTTGTCATTAATAGCGTTGTAATAGTCTAGGTTAACCTTTGTAACCCATTTTGAAATAATATAAGTGTATCATTTTAGTATTATGTGTTTTGTGGTTAATTGTGCCCAACGTAATGCGAGGCTTTAGCCTCTATAAATGGGCATGCGAGGGCAGCTGATTCTTTTGCTCAATTTCTCTTCTCTCTCTCTCTCTCTCTCTCTCCCGTTTTGCATCATTTTACGTGCAAGAAATATCCCGAAGCCCCAGTATCATTCCCGAGCCCTGAAGCAACTCCCGAAGCCCTAAAGATCCCGAGAATTTCAATTCCCGAGCCGAATTTTGCCCACGAGAAGCTCGGTTTTTGTGAAGATCTTCCAGATCTACCGAAGAATACCACTTCTACAAGTCGTAGTGTTGTCCGATCATGTAGTTACTTTCTTCTAACGCATAATTACGAAGTATTTTATACGAAATACGTGTTATGTGTATATTCTGTTGGTTATATGTGTGAATGTATATTCACTTTCTTCTATCTCATAGATATGATTTATTCTCTATGAAATATGTGTTATGTTTATGTGTCTCATTTGTTGTTTGGAATATGTATTGAATGAGAATGCTATACAGGTTTTAAACTATGTATATATATATATATATATATATATATATATATATATATATTTATCTACTAATATGTTGGGTAAAACATGGGTGGATAGTTGATGTGTGATAAACAGATGAGAGGCCTCGATGTTGTTGTTGTTTATCTAGTTATTCAGCAGAGTACGGATAACGACCATAGACTCTTTCTAGACAGTCCTATGTAACGCTAGGAGGCCCATAACTTGTAGGTGTTGTGAACTATGTGTTCACATGTGTACTCTATCCCCCTCATGGTTGCCTTTAGGACATCTATTGTTGAGGAAACCCCTTAGCAGTAATGTCCATCCCGATTAAAATCCTAGATTAGATCCCTTAACATAGATATTGTTTTAGGGATGTAAAGTGAGGATAACAGAAATGAGTAATCATGTTATTGTTGGTTGGTAAAAGTAAATATAATTATTTTTTGCGGGTTGAAAACCCTATATGCTCACCAGGCTCCTAAGCCTGACCCACTCAGTTTATTTGTACTACAGGTTGTGGCACGAAGGCATAATATGGATAAATCATCAAGTTATTTTCTTTATTAGACCAGTTGTTATATGTAACTGTTGTATGGTCTGTTTTTGTTGTTTATGCTTTTGTGTCTGTATCGGAACAGGACATCCTGAGTTTTGATTATATAATGAAAATACATTTCTTTATGAAATGCTTTTGTAAATATTATTTTTATCATATTTTGTTTTTTGGAAACAAATTCCGCAACTCTTTTAAATCAAAAGGATTTACTCTGAAATTATTTTAAAAGCATAAATGAAACCGGTCTTTTCTGGTCGTGATTTTGGGGATGTCACATCATCCTTCCTCTATTGATCGACCACATATATCATCGATGAATAATCCACGATACAATAGATCGATGTCGGTCGTGTTCATCTATCTAGGTTTTATATTCAATCAAGTCGAAAGTTCTTTTTATTCTTTATTGAAATCAAAAATTCATGATGTCAACTTGATAATCGAGATTTTTATAGGTTCTGATTTGCGTTGACTTCCAATCCACATTACCTAATTTCTAAATCGTTGGCAGATATTCGACAAATCAACAAATTGACATGATTACGCGGATTAACAGATCTAATCTCTTCTGAAACAGTCATTGCCATCTATGAAGGTACTACTCATGTTTCTGTATTTCAAAGTGAGATCTCTAGTGTGTTTTTGCAATATCAACACACGTTGCTTTGTCTATACGTTTTTGATTTCAAGCGCCATTGCTTTGATTTAAAGCTTCTGTCTCAACTTGTTCATCACCATCAATGTTTCCTTGTTGAGTTCATCATTAAGTATTCCAGGTGAAATTTTATTCAATCATTGAAGAATAATTTTTTTCTTAATCATATGACTTATTTCACATTATAATCTGGAGTTAATTACAGTTTAAGGTGTGTTTTTTGCTTGCTAATATGTTACAGTTTGAGTTTATTTGAAGCGACGAGTTGTATTGCCTATTAGGTGTTTGACAAAATGCCCCAGTGAACTATTGAACAATTCATCTCTAATTAAAGTGGTTGTATTGTATTATTATATCAACTAATCTCATATTTTGATTCGTCCTCATGAAAGGCCTCTCTATTTGCTTTTGCATCAGTTTCCTGTGAGAAAATTGAAAAAAAAAAAAAAAAAAAAAACCTTATTTTTGTTATGCTGTTATATTTAGAATTGGTTCTTCTTCATATGCTATGAGCATTTTGTACAAATGAAAGTGTTATTTATCTATGTAAGTATAATTTTACTGGGGCACGTATTATGTTAGTATGTATGTAATTGCTCCCAATATTATCATATTAGTTTTTGTGTTGGTATCTCTTGGTACATGATATCATAATTATCATTCTTCCTTTTGGGACTTTTCTAAATCTGTATAAGTTAGTAATCTCATAAAAATGTATTTAATACAATTTGGGTTGCAAATGCTCAAGATCATTATCTACCTGATATGCTTTTTAATGTGCCTAAACGTATGCTTTAAGTTAGTTAACTTCCACAGTGATGACTTATGTGCATTTTTTCTTTTGTTTTGAACACGTTAACAACAGTTGAGATTATATATCTAATGGAGTGAACTTGGTATTCTATAATAATTAAAGAGATTGTTTATTTATTATCATGGTTATGAAGAAAGTTATATTATCTCATCTAATTAGGATGTAATGATATCTATAATTTATGGTAATTGTTCTTGTTAAGTTTGGTGAATTGGATCTTTATAGTGGTCTTACGGATTTATGTTGATTGCTTCAATGGTGTTGCAGGTGATTTGTTGGTCTTATATTGAATGTCTCCCCAGATGAAGGTGAGTACACATGGAGAATTGAAGGCTTCTGTGGGTAAGCATCTTCTAAAGGTTAGTACACTTGAAATGTTGTTCCTTTATGAAATGTGGTTTTGCCATTTTTTATAATAATTGTTTTTATGGATGATGTTAAACATGTTCTTGTGGTAGACAAATTCCATATACATCGATGCACATAAACACATGTACATGGATTCATTTACAATTACAAATCCATATATACATATACATTGTTGGACATATAAATACACGAATAAGATTGATTTTGTTGTTGTTTGTTTAGATTCCTTGCACTTCAGATCTTTTAAACACATATGGCATGCAATTGGCTTTATTGGTTCAACCATTTAATTTATATGTATTAATTAATTAATTAATTAATACATATAAATGAAAATATCACATCTTTATTTGATTTCTATACATCAAAAAACAATATTCACAACTTATAAATCATGAGCCAAAACACCTAAATCAATTAACAGTTACAATTCTCAGTTTTGGACCCAAAACAACCACTGTTTAAAGCTGTTTTAGCACACTTGAAACCTGTATAACTTCCGTTTTTATTTCATATTCCAGAATTTCAGACTTTTATCTTTTCAGAATATATTTTTGAAGGTCCAAACGATTTTTCTACAATTTTATATGATTTTTACAAAACTGCCTATCAATGCAGCTAAATTCTGACCAGCTGGTGAAAAATGTGATTTTCACCTAAGTTAGAAGAAGCAACATGTTATGGAAAAATTAGTGGATAAACTAGATTCAAAATGAAAATTTTGAAAGTTTACGGACCATTAATTAGATTCCTAGTGATTTTTCTATAATTTTTCCAATACACGGACAGATTTGTAATTTTTGCTGAATTTTCCAGCTTGGGATTTCAAAGGCTTTTTGACCACTTAATACATTAAGCCATCACTAAGAACACCCATAAGGGTAAAAATTATCATCTTAACAGACGTGGCATGTCAAACAATAAAAATATCAATCCCACTCACAACCCACTCATCAAGGTACAAAATATTTGGTGGAAAACAAAGTAGGTTGCACAAATAGGAGCTTGGATTTCGTCCACCACTAATTCTCATAGAAGGACTTTGAAAGATTTTTTTGAGGCTTATTGGGTGACTCAAAACATGATTTAATCTAAACAAACATCAACAAAATTATGAGCACTCTTGTATTTATTTCATTTCTTTCTATGTCTCTATTGTTGGTTTGTGAGTATACAAAAAACAATTTTTTTGACTCCTTGGACATGTTTGAGGATAAAAGTTTAAAAATGGAAGATGATTCTGACTTGCCATCATGGTCAGGTGATGAACATGGTGTCAGTTTTCTTATGAATGTTGATAGCATTGGTGTTGTTGGAGATGGAGCTTTTGTTGACACAAAGGTGAATATACATATATAGTCTTTCTTGAGTGTATTGATGGCGTCATTAATGGGATTCTTTTTATTTTCATGTATGTTACATAATAGGCCTTTGGAGATGCATGGAAGAAAGCATGTTTTACAGATTGCATTCACGGGAAGCAGTGCAATATATAATGATATATGCCTGAGAACTCAACTTTAAAAAATGGAAGAACAAGACTCGGAAGAAGAATAAGGATCTCCATGTGGATATGATTCAAAGTGTCATCCAACAACTCTTCTATCCGGTCAATCATAATTGATAATGGTTCATGTTCGAATTTTCTTGAATTTTTGTATTTTTCTGAATCATGGTGTGACGGTTATAAGTAAATCACATGTATTTCATATGTGAATTACATGTGATTCACATGTAAATCACAAGTAAATCACATATGAATTACATGTGATTCACATGTAATTATGAATTACATGTGATTCACATGTAATTATGAATTACATGTGATTTACATATAATTATGAATTAAATGTGATTCACATGTAAATCACATAAGAATTACATGTGATTCATATGTAATTCACACATGATTCATATTTAAATCACATGTAATTCACATAAGAATTATGTATGATTCACATGTAAATCACAAGTGATTTACATATGAATTACATGTAAATAACAAGTGATTCACATATGAATTACATGTAATTTACATATGATTCACTTGTGATTCATATATAAATCACAAGTGAATCACATATGAATTACATGTGATTCACATGTAAATCACTAGTGAATCACATATGAATTACATGTGATTTACATATATATAATATCTAATTCACATATGAATTACATGTGATTCACATGTAAATCACATTTAATTCATATATGATTCACATAAAAATAACATTTAATTCGCATATTAATCACATGTAATTCACATGTAAATCACAAGTGAATTACATATCAATTACATGTGATTCACATGTAAATCACAAGTGAGTAACATGAATTATATGGGATTCACATGTAAATCACATATGAATTATGTTAATATGCACACATGCATTTTGTTTGAGTGGTCTTTGTTAATTTTTTTTTTTATTTTCTTGTGAATTTCACATTTGAATCTTAAAAGATACAATCACATGTGAATATCACATTATATAATCACGTTTGAATCTTCCATGATATAATCACATGTGAATCTTACATGATATATACTTGTGTATTTTTCTGAGTGTTCATGCATTAATCAATTTTTTTTAATTTTCTTGTAGGTTTTGAAGAATTTGTTGAAAATATTGAAGAGGTGAAAAGTGATAAATGGAAGAAAATATGGAAACCTTAATATGAAGAAATGATAACACTGTTAATCATTGTACTTTTTTATATTTTATTTAGTATCGAATAAAATACTTGTATTATGTTTATAGATTTATTAATAAAAATAAGATGTTTTATAATTTACATACGAATATTATAGTATAAGAAATATGCATATATGCATTAGAAAAAATATGCATAAATGCATCTAAAACGTTGATGATTTTTTTTTTAAATGCAGTTTTGAAAAAAATTGCACTTTTTTATAAAAGTCGTATTTATTTTTTTTTTTTTTGAAAAATTGAAGTTTTTCTGAAAATAAAAATGCAGTTTTTTTGAAAAAAAAATAAAGTTTTTTTTGAAAAAAAATTACAGTTTTTTCTAGAAAAAATATTGTTTTTTAAAAAAATGCAGTTTTTCAAAAAAAAATGTAGTTTTTTTTTTGAAAAAAAAATACAGTTTTTTTTAAAAAAAAAAAAAAGATGCATTTTTTGAAAAAATATTTTTTTTTCATTTTTTTTGAAAAATTCATGTTTTTTGAAAAAAATTAATAAAAATCTCCATTTTTTAAAAAATTCGAAAATTATTTTTTTAAAAAAATAAATCCAAAATTTTGACTTATTTTGTTAATTTTTAGACATTTATATTAATATATTAAATAACACAAAAAACTTAAACATTAAATGAGATTGGTAAGATGACGATCATATCCTTAACAAATTACTTTTAATCTAACGCTTCATTTTTAGTTGTCAGGAAACTTTGAGGTTTTTTCATGCATTTTTATGATTTTTTGGTTTTTTTAGGGTTTTTTGTTTTTCATAGAACCTAAACTTATATATATATATATATATATATATATATATATATATATATATATATATATATATATATATATATAGAGAGAGAGAGAGAGAGAGAGATGGGTTCAATTGAGAAAATAAAAAAGGTTGAGAATGAGAGAATCATTCTCAGCCACTCATTTTATTCAAGCATAAAAAGACACGGTGACAAACTTGTAAATATGAGAACAACCTTTAATATCAAATACGTATCTGTAGTTCAAACACATTCATCGTCTGCAGCAAAGGAGACCAAGGTGAAGATTCTCCGGTGCTCGTCTTCATCTGATTAAGGGGGAGAAGCATGGAGGTTCGTCGCCCGACTTGCAAACCGAGATGGTCTTCGTGGTTTTGACTAAACCAAGAGGTGTTTGGTTTTGCTAGGAGATTGCGGTCGGATAGAAGACATAAGTGAGGGTTTGGTTTTGCTAGGAGATTGGGTCGGACGTCCGCTGCCTCTCATTTGCTTCCTGCCGGTGAGAAATGAAGAGAGAGGGAGGCGAGGGAAGATGGCATCGGTGTTAGTGGGTCAACGAGCCAAGGCATAAAGGGAAACCGAGGTTCCAATCGACGTAAATAGTCTAGAAAGTGGTGGCTTTTGGCTGTGGTAATCAACAGGAAGTGCTGAAGGATCTCGATGGGGCAGTTGTTGCTTCAATTGGTACGGTCCTCTTCTCGTTTCTTTTATTTTGATTGTAAATCAGTTAGGTGGGTGTTTGGGTGATCGATGTTCAACGGGTGAGTAGATGGGGGAAAAGGATTTGATCAGGTTTGGTGTGTTCATCATGAACAGGTGGAGAAAGGGGTTTGACTGGAAATTAACGATAACGAAGGGAGTTTGGTTTGTTTCATTTGACAGGAAAGAAAACAGATGACAATGATTTCATGGATGTTTGTTTGCCATTGTTTAATCTTGTTTGGATAGAAATGTATGGTGTGTTTGGTTGGATCATTTGATAGGAAAGTCTGTATGTTATTCATATGTGAATAACATATAAAAATTATATATATATATATATATATATATATGTGTGTGTGTGTGTGAAAATACATTATAATATTCATATGTGAGTATACTGTGTAATATTCATATGTGAATATACTGTGTAATATTCATAAGTGAATATATCATATAATATTCACAAATGAATATACTATGTAATATTCACATGTGATATACCATGTAATACTTTGTAATATTCAGATATGAAAATATTATCTAATATTCATAAGTGAATATACCAGTATATATTCACAAGTGAATATATACTATGTAATATTCATAAGTGAATGCATCGTCTAATATTTAAATATGAATATACTATGTTTATTATATGCTATATTCACATATGAATGATACTTAAATTGTAAAAAAAATAAATAAATAAATTAATCATAGTTTTTATTCATAACTGAATAACGAATGTACTGTAGTAAAAACCTGATTTATTTTTATTCACTTATGAATAACGATAGCTGAAAATATAAAAAAAAAAAAATTTATTTTATTTTAAAACTATATCAATATAGATGTCTATTTGTAGAGAATAAAAAATCATGAATTTTAGTATATTTAAAATCATTTTTCGATAAAAATAGCTTCTTAAAAATTAAAAAAAAAAAAAACGAAAAAACTATGTTTTTGTATATATTAAGGTAATGATTAGCATAGTTTAAGGAAACATGTTTTGCTGGAAAACACATGTCTATTTCTTTCTCATTTCTGCTAGTACGACGGAGCCTTTTGCGGTAAAAATAAATGAGTGGCTGAGAATAATTCCCTCATTCTCAATATTTTTTTTTTCTCAATTGAACCCTCATATATATATATATATATATATATATATATATATATATATATATATATATATATATATATATATATATATATATATATATATATATATATATATATATATTATTTTACCTATATTGATTAAAAAAGTAAAGTACATTACTATTTCTTGCAATTTGCCTTTTTAATTTCGCTAAACCAAACTGAATATCTATTAACAACCATGAAAAACAAACATCTATTCCATGGAATATAATCTTAATGTTATTCTTCTTATCTTGTATGTATTTATTAAGGACTTGCGTTTATTTTTCCATGCAAAGCTTACCATGATACATAGTCATTCGAAGACCTTCTATGACTAGAGAAGCCAAATTGTCAAAATACGTGTCCAAAAAAAATGTAAATCATGATTAAGGCATTTGAGAAAAACTAATATATAGTGTCAAAGAAACAAACCACACATTAATTAAAAATTAATACACAAAATATTAAATACGAACGGCTGAAATTTTAATGTGGCAATTGTGACCAAAGGTGGATCACAGATATTGAATTACATAAATGAAACTAGTGATGAAATGCATCTCCAAGATCAATCAATAATGATGATCGAATTTTTCATAGTAGGTAAACCAGATTCATCCACAGCCTATAAGCATTAAACAAAATGCAAATAAACATCATTATTATCATTGAATATTGCTACGTAAAATGTAGAATGACAAATTTTCTGAAACTTAATTACCTCCTTTTTAACCCTGGCCTCCTTTTAAAACTTTGACTTCCTTTTTAACTCTGGGGCTTCATTAGCCGGCGGATGATAAAGTGGGCCAAGTTCTGTGTTGCAAGCATACGATCCAAAGCTTAAGTTTTGGGGCAAAATTAGATCATTACTTTACTTTACTAATAGTATAGTATATTCAATTTGGTTGACAAATTTCCTTTGTTTTGGCATGCTAGTTGATTTTTGTTATTAAACCGTAATAAACAAGGAAAAAGTGATAATTATGTAGTAAAAATATAAGGAAAAATGGTTTAAAAGTCCAACGAAGTTTCTAAAACATTCAAAAAACTTCAATCATATTTTGTTTGTTCATAAAAACCCAACGAACTTAACATTTAGTCTAAAATGTCAAACAAAGTTCCAAATCGTTCAAAAAATCCCAACTTTGTTTTGTTTAAGTTCGTTGGGTTTTTTTTGAACAGTTAAAACATGATTGGAGTTTTTTAAATGTTTTGAAATTTTGTTGGTCTAACAAGTCATTTTTCCGATACAGTAATAAGCTACGTCATCTGTTTTTCTTAATTAACTTTCAAGAAAGTATAACTTAGTTAGGCTTATAAGACAAAATGTTAAGTTTGTTGAGTTTTTTTTTAACAGACAAAACATGATTGAAGTTTTTTGAACGGTTTGAAAATTTTGTTGGGGTCGTAAGTCATTATCCCAAAATATAACTAATAAAATTTTAGACTCACCCATCTTAAGGGCTGCTTCGACAGCAGAACGAGGGATGATTGAATCAGGGATGAAGCTTCTACTAAGAGACTCTAGTATTTCATATTGAGCATCCATCAAGTCCTTCATGCCATCATGCAAATTCTTCATCATTCCTTCCAACTCCATTTTTGCTGATTTCATAACCGACACCTGAAAAATACGAAATCAATCAATAACTAGAATTTGATTTTGAGTTCGATTACGTTAGAGCAAAGATTATAAAGAGTTATTCAATGAAGCATGATTAATATATAAAATCCATATGTATTAATGATAATTAGTTTATATTTGTGAAACATACGCTGTATTGAGCAACCTCAATACCCTCCCTAGCAAATGCGACTTCATCTAGATCTAAAATTTGGTTGTCTAGCATGTCACGATGTTCTTCTAACCTGGCAAGAATGATAAGAATGAGGAAACCTTGTCCATGCATAAATGAAATTTAGAGTAAGTTATAAATTTTTGTTTTTTATGCTTAACATAAAATTGCAAGTTGAGTCCAGATTTTGAAATTGTCTCAATGTTGTCTTACATTTGTATTTTTGATGTGGACATTGTCCTTGTGTTCTACTCTTAATTGCATGTTTAGTTTAAATTTTGAAGGTCGTTTTATAAGGGTCAGAGGTCATATCCGCAACATAATACAAACCTAAGGACAATATTGGAACGATCTGGATTTTTGGACTTAACTTGTGATTTTTTTGTAAAGCATAGGGATCATATTTATAAATTCTAAAGCTATAAAGGAATTTTGAAGTTCTAAATAACCAAAAAGTAATCATTTTCTATATATATGACCAAAACTTATTTATATGGGTGTCATATGAAGTAATCTTACATTCTTGTCTGTTTGATAAGTCCCTTTGCCCTAGCTTTGAAAGCCTCTTGAGCTGGACCAGTAGGAGTTCTTTTGATCTCATTTTCACATCGAGAAAGTTCTCTATTAAGTTGCTTGATTTTCTCATTCACCTTCGCATTTCTTAAATTGATCTAGATAAGAGATAACAAGTAATCAAACATCTATTCATATGTATAGTTAGAATGGAAAATAGTATTTAATACATCAAACAATTAAGATAAATACCAATGGAAATGATTAAATAC